GGTCCCTCCCAGGGTCACTGCGTTTAGTTTCAGGTTCTTCAGGCATCCTGACAGACATGCATGAAGGGCCAAGCTGCATGGTCGCTGTGTAACCCCATACTCCCGGCTGCTCTCAGAGGGAACAGACTAGGCCTTGGTCAGAAGAGCAGGAACCCACAAATTGTTGCTTTGCTTCCTGCTTGGCTTCTGTGATTGAGGGATCTTGAGGGGTGCTGATGGTCATTTTAATTTATTGCTTTGAGTACAACTGTAGGAGGGTACAGTGAGGCCTGTACCCCACAGGTGGTGGTAACCCTGGTGGTTGCTCTTTCCCTCCCCTCTGCTGGCACTTTGTGGCCCAGGAGCTGCTAGAGCCTGGGATGGGGTCACGCCTTCCTCTCCTTAGCCCTCCACCTCATTTTCCAGCAGAGAGGGTTTGAGTGGGGATGGGTGCTGCGGAGGTGAATGAGCTTTCTGGAGAGAGGGCAGGCCCTATGGACACAGGTCTTTCCTCAGGCCACAGGTTTGGGCTGCTGGCCCATTTCTATCATGCTGCCTTAATAAAGATTTTGGAATGAAAAAAAAAAAATCCAAGGCGAGGCTAGGAAGGTGGTTCAGCAAGTAAAAGCAATTGTCTTAGAAACTAGTTACAGCAACTTTTTTCTTCTTCTAATTTCTAATTTATCCTTTCTGCCTGTCAGATACTTCTATAAGAAGTTGGCTTTATCATTTATTTGTTTTCATTTTTTTGTTTGTTTGGTTGGTTTTGGTTTTCTGAGATGGTGTTTCTCTGCATAATAGCCCTGGTTGTCCTGGACTCATTTTTGTAGACTAGGCTGGCCTCGAACTCACAGAGATCTGCTTGCCTCTGTCTCCTGGGTGTTATTTTTATTTATTTACTTCTTATTTGTTTTTGCAGTGTTGGAGGCTGAACCCACAGCCACTCACACGCTAACTAGTTCGCTGTCACTCTCAGTTGTCCGAGGTTCTATGGCTTCATCTGTGGTTCCATTCTCATCTAATCTGTGGACTGTGAGTCCTTTTTCTGCAATCCCCTGAGCCCATTTTGCCATACTGTACTGAGTGGTTAATGGCTTTTGCTTTGCTATTTATTGCTTCTAATTACCTGGTTGGATCAGAGCCTTCAGGTATTCATTTAGCCCTCCATTCTGTGACGTTTAAGTCACAGAATGGCTGGTTATACCATTCAGCTTCGTCTCAAGAATTACAGCATCAGCCTCTTTCTGAGGCTGCCTGGACTGTCGCTTCTACTTAGCAGTCACATAATGGAGAAAAGATGTTTCGAGAGAGAAATGGCAGACTGTGAAGTCCCACACCAGGGCGAAAGAAGCTTTCACGATAGCTCTCCACTCCTTCAGAACCTATACTTTCTACCTGCGTTGTATATCACTGCGAAAACCCTCACCTCAAGTGCCTTCATAAAAATCCTTGCTCCTACCTGTTCAAGGCTGTTTCCTAGCACTTGTCCACATGAACCCTACACTCAAGCAAGCTTGATGCCTTGCTCCATCTACTCCAGAGTCAACCCACAGATCCAACAGCTCCCGCTACTTTCCAGCTGTGTGAATTTTAGCCAAAAAAAAAAAAAAAAAAAAAAAAAAGAGGAGGAGGAAGAGGGCGCCATTAAAGTATGGGAGAAAACAGTATCTAATTCACAGGAACTGCACAGATGGAAATTAATGTCAGCAAAGCACTTTAAAAAGTTGTCTGGCATGCATTGGGGACTTAGTAGGCTGGGGAGACTCCACCAGTGAAGGGCCTGTGAGGACTTGAGCTCGGTCCCTAGAGCTCACATGAACAATCTGAGCTTGTTGGTGATATGTGTTTGTAATTCCAGTGCAAAGGAGACAGAGACAGTCAGATTCCCTGAGCTCTCTGGGATAATAAGCTCCAGGCCAGTGAGAGGCCTAGTCTCAAAAGAAAAAGAAAAAGAAAGAGAGAGAGGAAGGAAGGAGGGAAGGAAGGAAGGAAGGAAGGAAGGAAGGAAGGAAGGAAGGAAGGAAGGAAGGAAAGAGAGGTAGATAGTGTCTGAGAAACAATACCCAAGATTGTCTTATAGCCTCCTCATATGTGAATAAGAGCACACACACAGACACACTAATACGAATAAACAAATAAAGAGAACTTTGGAGATAGCTCCAATAACTGTTCTTGGAAGGCTATGTTTACAGAGGACACAGGAAGAACCAGACATGCATCGGTGGCTTAAAGAACCTCCAGACTCAGAGGGATACACTACATATTTACATACTGACTGACACGGGAAGGACACAGGCTGGGGAAAGATGGCCTACTCTGCTTCTGTCCTCTCTGCATTTTACCCTGCTCTTCCCTACAACAGGAAAAACTGGTCTTGAGATCAGTGGTGAGCTGCTCATTGATTCAAATGTTTTGCAAATAGTCAGATCATTATGCTTTAAAGATAAGCAGCCACATATGGTTCTTTTCCTTATTAGTCAAAGGGAAGGCAGCTACTACCATCCTCAGACACATGATCCTCTATCCTGGCCAGCTGACGGGGAGACATTAACAGAAGGCTTCACTTAAGGTCTAACACTAAGGCAGCACGCCATTTCTTGTTCTTTTTTCCCTCAAAGAACCCCCAGAATAGAGTAGTTACCTATAATCCAATGTTTTAACTCCTCCTGTTGTTTGCAACATATGTGTTCTGGGATGAAAACCTACTTGCCAGAGTGACTGTAAAGTTTTCCTAGGTACCTACTGTCCACCTGACGTTGGTCTTCATAAAGCCAGATTACACAATCGGCAGTTCATTTTCTCCATGTATGAAAATGGACCTAGAGAGTCTGGCTTGTTCTTCATTCGTTCAGTGAGAAAATATGTGGCCACATGCTACCTCTAAGTCATTTGGAAGTATAGGCTGGTTATGTATAAAATAAATATGCACTATTTGCTTTTCAGAAAAATATGCTTAGCAATACTTACCTTTCCCCAGAGTGATAGATTCTGTTTAGCTTGTTGTTTCCCCACCATTTGCTCCTTCTTCCTGGGTTCAGGGCTGCCTGGCCTCCCTTGTAATTGCCACAGACTATGAGAAGAGGTGATTTACCCAAGCAGCCAAAAAGATAATTACTTATTTGAAACTTCTCTTTCTCAGAGTGTGGGAAGCTCAATCAGTAAGGCTGTTCAGACTTTTAGTCTGAACGTTCAAATTCCAAACTTCTCTTTTTCTTTCCTGCGTGCGTGCGCGTGTGCGCGTGTGCGTGTATGTGCGTGTATGTGTGTGTGTGTGTGTGTGTGTGTGTGTGTGTGTGTGCGTGTGATGTGGATGGGCATATGCCACACGTGACATGTGCACGTGGAGATCAGAGGACAACCTCAGGTGTCAGTTCTGTACTTTCACCTAGAGATGGGGTCTCTTATTGCTGCTGCTGGCCTGCAAGTGTCCAGTGATTCCATGGGCCATCTTTCCACAGCAGCACTGGGATTACCTGAGCTACTGCACCTAGCTTTGGGTTCTGACGCTCTGAACTCAGGTACCTCACATTTGTGTGGCAAGTGCTTTACCCCCTGAGCCATCTCTCCAGCACCCTTCTCCCCCATCTTGAACAGAGACATATAAGGCACCAATCTTCTATTTCATAGACAAAGACAAGTTCTTAACAGGTAGTAGAGCAACAAGATGGAAGGAATGTGGGTCCCTGAGTGACAATTTGGAATAGAGTTGCCCCACCAGCCCCTGAACAGCCAGATTCTAGGTCACTAAATGTGTGTGTTTGTGTGTGTGTGTGTGGGGGGATGTTAGCAGTTTCTTTTTAATAAATATACTTCCCCAATCCATTCTCTCCACCTTCTTAATATAATAATTACGTTTGAAGTGGATATAATATGGCTTCTTTAGGTGAAAGGTCACCCTTCCCAGACTTCTTTACAGCTGCGTGTGACCACATGACTAAGGAACTAGAATTGTTAGTTATCTGAGTAGTGTCATTAGGAAGCAGGCAGTCAGCATTTTCTCTCCACTTTGTCTTTCTCACCATCTGGAATAGGAAGCTAATGAGCAGGGTTCTAGCAGCTACTTGGGATCACTAAATTACAAGCTAAGAATTATGCAGGAGCAGAAGATCTGGCCCCCGGGTCCCTAAGACCAGAGACTATTTCATGACAGTTCTGATTGCAGGTTTCTATATTTCCTTACATGAAAGAGAAAATTCTGTTTTACCGAAGATATTAACAATTGTATGTGGCACCTAGCTGCAACTCATCCTAATTAAACGAGATACCCAGGAACAGATATCCTCATTTCAAACCCCGGCTGGATTCTTGGCTCCTCTTCGCAGAAGTAAAAGAAAATCACTCCTTCCCCCAAGCTTCGGAAGAGACCAGTTTCCATCCCCTTTACCAGAATGGGTTTGCCTTTTGTGCTCTTTGAAACAGCTCCGCAGGGAAGCTGGCTAGGAAAGCCCAGTCTCTGGGCCCAGATGGCCCCAACAGTGGTGGCGACACTGGGAGACTGGTGGCAGTAGATGTGGCTTGGACTGGGGAGGGAGCTGCGATCCAGCTCTGGCGCCCGTGCAGTGAGACCAACGGAAAGGTGGAGCACCGACCGGCACCCGCAAATTCAGGTCAACACAACCGACCAGGAGGTAACTGGGCAACTTGGTCTCTTTAAGTTGGGTTTTCGGCTTCCCGCCTGCTGCACTGGACTCCGGTACCCCGGTCCAGATGGCGCCTCCTCCATGGCAGGAGGATGGAGGAGGCCAGACGCCGAGAACTAGGGAAATATAGGCTTAGCACCTCTTGTCCACAGCCTCACAGGACTTCAGTCCGAGTCTCTCGGCCCTAGTCTCCCCACGTGTAAGGAGGGGAGCAGACGCTGACAGCTCCTACAGACTTCTCTCCCACAGGCAGGGTCCGAGCACCAGGCTCCCCAGCCTAGCCTCAGCTGTGCACATCTGCTTCCCTGACACCCTTGCAGACCCCTCCTGCACCCCTCGGTCTCTTGCCCTCAGGTCGCCCTCATCGTCCGGTAGCCTCACCCTCCTCCGACAGGTAGCGCAGGTCGTAGAACTCGCCCGCAAAGGTGCCGTAGGAGGAGTCGTGGCGCGGCACTGCCTCGTCGGCGCCCGCGTCCCCTCGCGCGCGTCCCCGGGGTCCTCGGCCCCCCGGGCCCGCGCCGTCATCCGCGGGGCTGGCCTCGCAGGCAGCGATCCCCGCCAGCAGCAGCCGCAGCAGCAAAGGTGCCCAGGCCGGGCGCTGCCGGGGCGGCCCCGCCATCGCTACGCACGGATCCTGCAGCCAGGCCGCTCCGGCCGCAGCGGGGGCGCCGCGGGCGCGGGCCGGGACCCAGCCGCCGCTAGCACGCGCCGCGCAGCCGCGGAGCGCCCGCACCCGCCGCCTCCCTTGCCTCGCTCTGCGCATCCTCGCTCCAGCCCCGCAGCCTGCCCCCGTCCTCTCAGCATCACCCCCTCCTCGCCTGACGCTCCTCTTCTCCCATTCTCCCCACTGCCCAGCCAGCCTCCAGCTCTGACCGTCCTGGTCCCTGGGTTCTCAGTGTGGCCTGCTGACCCACAGCCCCAGCACTACCTGGGAGCTTACTAATGTCTCTTCAGGCCCGACTCCGGACACACAGAGCCGGATTTGCTCTCTTACTCAAATCCCCAACATCCAGTTACCACACCTCATTAGAATGACTGTCCCCAACATTTTGCTTCTGCAACTTTTTGTCCGGGGGGGGGGGGGACTTACTAGACTCACACATTTCTCTAGACCATCACGGAAGGAAAATGAAATCACAAAATACCACTGTGTAGAGGTCAGAGTCAGTGAGGAAAGTGTAACTAAGACCTTGGCAAAAGCCACAAACTCTGGAGCCCTTCAAACCAGGCTTACCCTTTTTCCAGGGGCAAAGAGCGCAGACATCGAGCAACCCAGCCATGCCTGGTAAGTATGCCGAATTCTCCGTATCTTTCCATCTGTTTGCGTCACTTACGCTTTGCATTACTTGCCTGGCCGTTCATTTCCTCAGTCAATACACACAGATCCCAGGCTTGTATTCAGATGACCCTTGTTGGGGTGGTGACAACTTGCGTGTGAACACTTCTGATTCTTTTTTTTTTTTTAATTAATGCATAGAGTCAGGAAATTGCTACTGAGGCAGAATGGAAGACTGCCTGGGTCATCAGTAATGACCAGTGGTCAATAATTCCCATGATGCAATGCATAGTAAATAAGATCATGCAGGGAAGGATTTGCAGGGTTCCATGTCACCAACGTTGTAACATTGCACAGAACTATGAAATATGGAGGCACCGGTAATTTCAACTTTTTCTGGCCCAGTGGCTAGGAGACAGGGGGCTGCCATTGGAAGGAGATATGCCCTGGGAAATCCAAAGGCCAGCTGTCCACTATTGGATATAACTGACAGGTCAGCTTGTTCAACTAGAACTTAAACACGTTGATCCTGTCAGGTTCTGTCACTGAACGTGAAGCTTACCTCATCTATGCAAGCTGGCCAGTGAGCTTGGGATCCTCCTGTCTTCCCAGCACTAGTGTTCTAGACAATGCGGCTGTGTTTTTTATGTGGGCTCCAGAATTTGAACTCAGGTCCTCATGTTTGAGTAATCTCCTGAGCCCAGAGCTTGTTGAAACTGCCTGACTAGTGAGGCCCTGGGACCCACCTTCCTCTACTCTCCACCCCAACCCTGGGGTTACAGACAGATTCTGCTGTGCCAAGCTTTTATATGGGTGCCTGGGGTTCAAACTTCATGTTCATGCAGCAAACCCACCCTCCACTAACCCACCTCCCAGATACTGTTAGCCACCATTAAATGGATAAGCACTTGATTTCATTTTCATGTTTAAAAGACAGACAACCTTTATTTCTCTTCTCATCAAAATAATTTCTCAAAAGGACCTTTTTTTCTGTTATAAAAACATTCCCAAATTAGTGTTACTATTCAGTATCCGACCAGGAACAGATGTGCCCTGCCTCTGACTGCCTGGTGCATGTCATTTTTCACTTTGGATTTCATAAGACATAAAAGCTGTGATCTTGGAAGTCCATCAGAAAGTTAAACATAGAGTTGCCATATGATCTGGCAATTCCAAGAGAACTCAAAACATATGTTCACACAAAACACTTGTGCATGAATGTTCATAAAATTATCATTCATAATAGACCAAAAGCAAGAGCAACCCAGATAGCTATTATGTGAATAAACATATAAACAAAGCATGGTAACTCCATATATTCAATTATTCAGTCACAAAGACAGAATGAAGTTCTGATACATGCTATAACATAGATGAACCTTGAAAACATGGCTAAGTGAAAGAAGCTGATCACAAAAGTCCACATACTTTATGATTCCAGATATATGAAGTGTCCAGAATAAACAAATTCATAAACAGAAACCCACAGACCAGGGCAGGGAATAGTTAGTGGTTGCCAGGGGAGGGGCAGAGTCAGAGTGAGAATCAGGTTATGATATTTGCCCAGCATTATGGATATGCCTAAAAACACTGAGGTGTACACTTTAAAATCATTAAAACGGTGGATTTTATTCAAGGACTTCAAAGGTCTGTGATCTTTGAAATGGTGAATGATAACAATGTTGTCAGAATCTTCCTGTGCTCTTTGGGAAATAAAATTCTGGATACATCCTGGTGGGAATTTCTGAATGCTAAGTGACTTCCTTTTTCACAGCTGAAGATCTGTGTTCCCTACAACCCATCAACTCTACGGATCAAGGGCTTCTGTGCCTCTGCAGTAACACGCCATGTCTTCCTAACTAGGAATGGCAGGCCCACAGTTTGGAGCCTCAGCTCTGGAGTGATTATGTTAGGAGACTCTTCCCGACCCCCTTTTGAATCCACAGGGGATGTTTGTTGGGTTGGGTTCTAGTGCTGTTGTTTGGGTCTTAAGGTAATAGTTGTGCAACCCCTTATAGTTACTGTGGGTTCACCCAGGGCAACTTTGCCAACTCAGGCGTCGATGCCAAGCACCCACCATACATTTAAGTAGGCAAAAGATGGTGGTCATCACAGCAATACATTCCTCTGAGTCTCACTGGATGGGGAGAACTGCCAACAATACTGGGTTTCATATACAAGAACAGCTAACACGTTTGTGCTCAGACTTGCAGTGATGCCAACCTGTTGAGGCAGCTGTGAACCCAGGGGGAAGTGGGAGATAACGCAGGAGGCTGTGAGTCTCCTGAAAACAGCAGCCAAAACCTCCATGCGCCCCTCCTTGGAAACAAAGCAAACCATACACATGGAATATACCTGCGTCCTGACCTCCCTGGAAACCTTCCACCATATTTTGGAGGTTTCCATCAGAGAGCTAGGTGGGGAGGAGTGCTCACCTCAGAAAGCAGCTCAGAAGAGGAAGCAGCTGCTGGATTGGCAGGAGGTGACAACCCCAGGTTCTGTAGGAACGTAGGTGTGAGTTACATGCACATGATAAAAAACAGCCAAAGCTATTTTACTAGTACATGTAGGGGCTGGGTGGGTGAAAAGTACCCACCCCAAACTACACTTGCCCCAAGGCAGCTCCCCCGGGAGAGCAGACAACATGAAGAGCTTTCGATGAGAAGAGGGTCATAGCCTATATAAGGCCACAGCAAGCCCTACATATGTTGATAGCTCCTGGTGACATCTTTTGTAGCATACCAAGGTACAGGAGGGGCTGATGTGTGTACTAGCAACCAGGATTCATCAGAAAAAGGCTGAGGACCCTCCAGGATACTCTATGCACTAAGGCAGGGAAATGTGCCATACATCTTAGAAAGATTTCCCTCAAAAAATATTAAAATTTTAAAGAGTCAGTACATAAAGGGTTACTCCTTGGTTATCTGAATACCTGTTTACATACCTCGTTTGCATCAAAGCTAGTCAATGAGGCAATTTTTTATAGTCGTTAGTATCAAATTATTGGCACCATTCTGTTGTAAGGATAGGGAGAGAGCAAACTCTATAATACAACGTAAAAATACAGTTCTGATACAAAGGTATGAGCTCAGTTCCATTGAACAAGCAGTCATAAGAGACAGATGTAGACAGTTTACACACAAGGAAACACAGCCAGTAACTCATCACATGGAAAAGTGTTCAGCCTTGCTAGCAGTTCATCAAATAAGACAGCTTTTCAAGAATAACTATACACATCTATTAAACTAGCAAAAAATAAATTAGAATAGCAAAACTGGCAAAGCTATTGGTAAATATAAATGCTTATACATTGCTGGTGGCATTGTAAATTGTAGAGGGGATTCAAGCATTCGTAGGAAGGGAAGTTTAAATGAGATGACCTTTAAGGTCCTTCCAATCCAAAGATTGGATCTTTCTAGAAAGCAATCTGGCAATACAAAACAAGAGCTATAAAATACTTCATGCTCTCTGACCTTGTAATCCCTCTTTGGAGATATTCTGAAGGGAATAATCCAAGAGAAGGATTATATATATATATATTTATTTATTTATGTATATATTTTTACAAAGACATTCATAGCAGCACTATTTATAAATGTGAAAATTTGCATATAACTCAAATGTCTGAATGGGGAGAAGTGAGGTGAGCTGCGTCATGTGGCTATAAAGACACTTGGATTAGTGACCGTATCTCTCTGAGAAGGAGATTGTTAGGTGGAGAAATGCAACAAAAGAATGTCAGTGCTGAGCACAGCTACGTAAAAATGGAGTATGTCAACGAGAAGCAGGAGGGAGGTGACAGAGCTAGCTGTGGGCAAGGTTCCTTAATTCCTGTAAAGTTTTTCAAGTGCCTAATAAAAATTTAAAAATCCATTTCTTGAAACTATATAAAAAAAGGGAGTTAAGTTTCTCCTGGGCCAGGTTCTATCAACATGGTTAGAGTGGATGAAATTTAGAAATAATTTATCTTTCTGGAAAAGCCAAATGAGTCTTCCTGATACTGCATCATCTTGACCCTGTAAAGATTTTAGACAATGTAAGTTAGAATTTCCTGCATGGGGTTCAAAGATAAATTCCACTTATCCCAGGTAATATTATATCCAACAAGTTCACACATTCAATTGTATCTCAGGTCTAGCTGAAGTATTTTCAGTTATGTAATATGTAACTTTTTTTTCCATTCATCTATTCACATCTGAATAAAAATAAATAATTTTATAAGTCTGTGTATTTATCAGTGTAAATGGGAAACAAAACAGCAGTAAAGAATATTCTCTCATAAAAATGACCCATTTAACAAACAGCCAAAGCTTGGTGCAAGTTTCAATCATAAAAAAGTCACATAGTTGAGAGTGTAAGCGGAGGATTCTGTGCTGCGTTAGCCCCTGGGGTTAGGAACAAATACACACAGGTACCTCTCAACAGGAATCCCCTTTCTTCTAGAAACTTCCTACCAAACCCTGTCTCCACTGCACTGAACAGTAGAAAAACCTCTCATGCTCAGGAGACATAAATTAACTTTTCCGAAGTCAAGCCGGAAGCTGGCTTCCGCTAACCCTGGAGACCTGGGCGAAGAGAGCACACATCTGTATGTCGTGCCGCAACGAGCACGCCGAGCCCGAGAAAGGAAGTGGACGAAGGCACCATGCCATCTCCAGGCAGCAAGGGCGGAGTTTCACAGTTCGGTCATCAATAATCTTTTCATCATCTTCTCTCTTTCCAGTTCCTGCCGGAGTGTCTCTGCACTGGAAAACAGCGAGGGAAGGAGGTAAGACGAAGCCTGGCTATCTGCAGGTGTGGACAGAACCTAACCGCCATCTGGCAGGTGCTAAACTTTCCTTCTTAGGCCCTGTGGGGATGCCCTGAATTGGTAAGCATTACAGTGAGCCTAAACTGTCTGGCTACTGAGGGGTTCCCCCACCCTCACCCCCGGGGGCATTCCTTGCCAGGTACAGTTGACATCATTCATCTCTACCATCTCACAGTTGAGTGTGGGGGTCTGCTCAGTGAAAGCCTCTTGAATGAATGAGAAGGCTCCTGGGACTGGATTTCTTCCTTTAAAAACTTTTTAATTTAGTTAGGCATGGTGGTGCCTGCCTTTAATCCTAGTTCTTGAGAAGCAGAGACAAGTGAGTCTCCGTGAGCTTGAGGCCAGACTGGTATGGTGAAATCCAGGACAGCCAGGGACTCTACACATAAAGAGCTTGTTCCAAAAAAAATAAAATTATTAATTATTATTATTGTATGTGTATAAGTAGGAGCACATACATGCACACAGATGCATGTCTGCCACTGTGCACATAAGGAGGTCAGAGGTCAACTTTCAGGACTTGTTTCTGTCCTACTGAGGCATTGAACTCAAGTCATCAGGCTTTCTTGCAAGTACTTCTATCTGAGGGTGGGAGGGCGTTGCATTTCTTTCGATTGTGCTTTAAGTTTGTTTTATATAGTTTTTTTTTCCCAAGACAGTAAGACAGTAAATATCCAAAGTAATGTTTTAACAAAGAGTGTGCTATGTTTAATGAATAAGATAAAGGGTAGGGGAAAGATGGATGGGGAAAGGGAGACTGCGTGCATTAAAAACTGGCTGCTCTGGGGGGCTGCTTTTGGCTTTTTGGTCACCAGGTCAGTTGAATGCTTTATTGTGGTGTCCTCAGAGGCTCAAATACTTGAACACTTGCTCCCCAGTTGCTGGTGCTCTTTGGGGAGGTTTAGGAAGTACAGCCTTGCTGGAGGAAGTGTGTCACCATCACTGGGGACAAACTTTTCGAGACATAGTCTCACCCTACTGCCAATTCATTTTCTCTCTCTCTGCTTTTTGTTCACAGTTAAAGACAAAGGTGTGAGTGAGCTCTCAGCTTCCTGCCCCTGCTGCCATGCCAGGAGCTTGCTACCATGCCTTTGCCCCGCTGTGATAGACAGCCATCCCTGTGGAACCGTGAGTTCTTCCCTAAGTTGCCTTTAGTTGTGGGGTTTTATTACAGCAACTGAAAAGTAAGTAAGACACCTATGGACCTTGTTTGTACTGTTTAAATAAATGTACATATAAAGGCAGTGTATAAAGGTGTGTGTGTGTGTGTGTGTGTGTGTGTGTGAGTGTTTGTGTGTGTTAGCATTATAGTGAGCCTAAACTGTGTGGCTACTGAGGGGTTCCCCCCACCCTCACCCCAGGGGGCATTCCTTGAAGGACACAGTTGATGTCATTCATCTCTACCATCTCACAGTTGAATGTGGGGATCTGCTCAGTGAACACCTCTTGAATGAATGGATGTCGTGTGTGTGTGTGTGTGTGTGTGTGTGTGTGTGTGTGTGTGCGCACTCGTGCTTTTTGCTGCCAGGGTCTCATGCCATTTAGACAAATGTTCTACAACTGAGATACATCCCAGCCCTGGTATGTCGTCTATTCATCCTACCTCTTCAAAATGATGGATATCTCTCCCTCTCCCTATTTCTCTTGCTCTTGCTTTTAAGAGCATCACCTAGGCTAGTCTTGAACTTGTGGCCACAGGCAATTCTCCCAGTTCTGACTCCCAAGTAGCCAGAATTACAGGTGTATGCCACTGCAAGGAACCTGCAAGATGTGTGTACGTGTGTGTGTGTATTAAAGATTTAGTTTTATTTTGTGTGTATGTATGCCACATAGATACAGATGTCCAAGGAGGCCAGCAGAGGGCAGCAGACCCTCTGGAGCTGGAGTTAGAGGTGGTTGTGAACCACCTATGGTGAGGGCTGAGATCAGAGCTCAGGCTGTCTGGATGAACAGCAAGCACTCTTAAGAACTGAACCATCCCTCCAGCCACGAAATGTATATTTTTAAAGGCACTGAGTAACTTTACTAATCTCACGCAGGATAGAAGTCAATTTTTGCCATGGCCAACAAGGCCCCGCATGATCTGGGCCTCCTAATATGCAGTTTTAGTAGGCTGCTGCCATCACCTACCCAGTGTCTCACTGAGCCAAACGCTAAATGAACCTTCTAGCTTCACTAGCTCTTAGTTCTTTAACAGTTTAACTTTGGAGGCCCCACAGCTGAGCAACAGTTATTACTGTCTCCCTACCTTGGCTGTGGATAACTTGTCTGACAAGTAGGCTGTGGTGATGGTGGTAGCCGAAGCTTACCTTTCAGGATAAGAGGACCTGTTTCCGGCTGGGGGTGGGGATGTAAAGTGTTTGTCTTATAAACACAGTGACATGAATCCTATCCCCAAGTAAAAATGCCAGCTATGGCACATAGCACTGGGGAGAAGGAGACAGAAGGATCCCTGAAGCTCACTGGCCAGCCAATCTAACCTAGTTATTAGTGAGTACCAGGCCAATGGGAGACCTTGTCTTAAGAGAGATTCACAAAGTTCCTGAGGATGATCCTCAAGGGTCATCCTCAATACACCTCCCCAATATACCTACACATACATACATACACACACACACACACACACACACACACACACACACACACACCTTAAAAGGTCTCTTAGTGAAGATATTGACTTTGCTTGGCACTGAAGAAGTCTGATGGGAACTGGCATAGGTGAAAAGGCATGCTATCTGAATCCTTTGCTGCCTTATCTTTGGGACCGGAGTCAGCTCACTGATCATTTAAGAAGTGTGTTGTCTAGAGCTATAATAGAGGCTTGACATGACCTAGATTTGCCTAGTCTCTCCCCGACCTTAAGGCTAAATATACTTGCTGTCCCCATGGCTGGAAATACAGATCACAAAAGGAGCACAAATAGATGGAAAGCCCCTGCCTGTTCCCAGAAAAGACACGACTGCCTCTCCCCTTCATCTTCAGTTCTCTCTCCTCCGTCCTGTCCTGTGTCACTAACTCCTCAGTTCTCCAGAGCCAAGAGGCTGCTTTCCCTCTATTTCTTTGTTCTGTAGTCTCCTGAGTCACTCGTCTCCTCAAGTGACAGCAGAATCTGAACTTTTCTCATAACCACCCTGGCTCCTTAATCTCACTTAGTTATGCCAGGCATGCCCAAGTCCAGGAACTTAGGACTGGCAAGTCCCTCTGCTAAGACTGTCTGCAACCTGTTCCCACCACCTTCACCTGTCATGTCAGTGAAGTCATCCCAGCCCGCCCTATTGCTTTTTACAGCCTCAGTTCACTCTGTGGCCTTGACACACACACACACACACACACACACACACACACACACACACACACA